TTTTTTTTTTTTTTTAAATGGAGACAGGGTCTCCATTATGTTGCCCAGGCTGGTCTCTAACTCCTGGACTCAAGCAATCCTCCTGCCTTGGCCTCTCAAAGCTCTGTTATTACAGGCATGAGCTACTGTGCCTGGCAGGAAACACACATTACACATTCTTTTTTTCTGAGATGAAGTCTCACACTGTTGCCCAGGCAGGAGTGCAATGGCGTGACCTCGGCTCACTGCAACCTCCGCCTCCTGGGTTCAAGTGATTCTCCTCTCTCAGCCTCCCAAGTAGTTGGGATTACAGGCATCCACTACCATACCTGGCTAATCTTTTGTATTTTTAGTAGAGATGAGGTTTCACCATGTTGGCCAGGTTGGTTTCAAACTCCTGACCTCAAGTGATCCATCTACCTTGGCCTCCCAAAGTGCTAGGATTACAGGCGTGAGCCACTGAGCCCAGCCAGAAATGCACACTTAAAAAGAAACAAATATTATCAACACTAACCAGTCAGAACTCCATGAGATGCTTAACTAATGTTACGTGTTGAATTGTGTCCCTCAAAATGATAAGTCCTACACGCTGGTATCTGTGAATGTGGCCTTATTTGGAAACAGGGTCTTTGCAGAAGTAATTAAGATGAAGTTATATTGGATTAAGGTGGGTCCCAAATCCAATGACTCAAGTCCTTGTAAGAGGCAAAGATTAGACTGGGCGCGGTGGCTCACGCTTATAATTCCAGCACTTTGGGAGGCTGAGGCAGGTGGATCACTTGAGCCCAGGAGTTAGAGACCAGCCTGGCCAACAGGGCAAAACCCTGTCTCTACAAAAAATATGAAAATCAGTTAGGCATGGTGGTGCACACCTGTAGTATCACCTACTTGGGAGGCTGAGAAGGGAAAATCACCTAAGCCTGGGAGGTCGAGGCTGCAGAGTGAGACCCTTTCTCTCTCTCTCAAAAAAAAAAAAAAAAAAGATTACATGGATATATAAAGAGAGAAGGTAGTTACATGTGAAGATGAAGGCAGAGATTGGAGTTATACAGCTACAAGACAAGGAATGGCAAGGATTACCAGTAACCATCAAAAGCTTAGAAGCAACAAAGGATTCTTCCAGAGCCTTCAAGAGAGCATGAACATGCTGACACCTTGATTTTGAATTTCACACCTCCAAAACTTTGAGAAAATAAATTTTTGTTCCCCTAAGCCATCTAGTTTATGATACTTTGATACAGCTCCTCAAGAAAAAAATAAAACTATTCATTCATAAAAGTAGGAAAAAACCATATAATGTATATGTCTATGTTGGCGGTTATGAATGGGAAATAAAGTGAAACAACTCTTGAGAATTATAACAGAGAAATGGGGATACAGGTAGGGAAGAGATGTAAGAATAAAGAGTGGTTGAGGTCAGGTGTGTTGGCTCACACTTGTAATCCCAGCACTTTGAGAGGCCAAGGTGGGCAGATCACCTGAAGTCGGGAGTTCAAGACTAGCTTGACCAACATGGACAGACCCTGTCTCTACTAAAAATACAAAAAATTAGCTGGGTATGGTGGCATATCCCTGTAATACCAGCTACTTGGGAGGTTGAGGCAGGAGAATTGCTTGAACCTGGGAGCAGAGGTTGCAGTGAGCCGAGATCATGTAATTGCACTCCAGCCTCGGCAACAAGAGTGAGACTTCATTTCAAAAAAAAAGAGTGGTTTTGATTAAGAGGTACTAGATGGCCAGGGACGGTGGCTTGTGCCTATAACCCCAGCACTTTTGTAGGCCAAGGCCACGGGGACTGGTGGAAGCCAGGAATTCAAGACTGGCCTGGGCAACAAACTGAGATTGTTCCTACAAAAAAAAATTTTTTTTGTTTTGTTTTCTGCCTCTCAGGTTCAAGGGATTCTCCTGCTTCATCCTCCTGAGTAGCTGGGATTACAGGTGTGCACCACCATGCCTGGCTAATTTTTGTCTTTTTGGTACAGACAGCGTTTCACCATGTTGGTCAGGCTGGTCTCAAACTCCTGACCTTGTGATCCACCTGCCTCAGTCTCCCAAAGTGTTGGGATTATCAGTGTGAGCACTGCGACTGGCCTTTTTAAAAAAAAAATAATAATAATAATGTGGGCATGGTGGCGTACACCTGTGGTCCCAGCTACTCTGGAGGCTGAGGCAGGAGGATGGCTTGAGCCCAGGAGTTCTGAGGCTTCGGTGAGCTGTGATCACACCTCTGCACTCCAGCCTGAGTGACAGAGTGAGACACTGTCTCAAAAAAAAAAAAAAAAAATCTATTACTGCTCGGGTTCAACAAAATTCATAAAATAATAATAATAAAAAAGAGAAATACTAGGTGTTGTCTGGTTGATGAGAATCATCCAGTGGAGAAGGAATAGAGTGATGACACAGGATTGTAATAAAAAGAACAGTATATATTATGTGATTCCATTTATAGGAAATGTTGAGTACAGGGAAATCTAGTCAGTACATTGACAGTTGCTCAGGGCTGGCAAGAGGGGCATTAAAGAAAAAGATAGTGACTGCTAATGAGTTATGTAGCTTCTTTTTGGGATGGTAAAAATATTCTAAAATTGATTTTGGTGATAGTTGCACAGTTCTGTAAAACCACTGAATTGTACACTTTATTTATTAAATATTCTAAAATTGATTTTGGTGATAGTTGCACAATTCTATGAATTACCTAAAAACCAATGAATTGTACACTTTATTTATTTATTTAATTTTGAGACAGGATCTCACTCTGTCACCCAGGCTGGAGTGCAGTGGTGCAGTCTCAGCTCACTGGAACCTCAACTCCCTGGGCTCAGGTGATTTCCCCACCTTAGTCTCTCAAGTAACTGGGACTAAAGGTGTGAGCCACCATACCTGGCTAATTTTTGTATTTTTTTTGTAGAGAAAGGGTTTTGCCATTTTGCCCAGGCTGCTCTCAAACTCCTGGGCTGAAGTTATCTGCCTACCTTAGTCTCCCAAAGTGCAAGGATTACAGGTGTGAGCCACTGTGGCCAACCACACTGTGTACTTGAATAATAACTCAATAAAGCTGCTGTTAAAATGAGGCAGTGACAGCACAGGCTCGAAGTCCTTGAAAAGACAAGAAAGGTAGGGACACAATCATAAGTGATTTGGCCTTTGACAGGAAGGACCTTTCCTGTACTATAATAGAAGGAATAATGGGAAAGTGGATGAATTTTATGTAAGTTTGGTGGTTTAAAGATGAGGAAATTCTTGTATGGTAGTCTTGTTTTTTATCAGTGAATCATGAGATAAAGGTGTTAGCTTAGGGTAATGATGGAGGAAGAAGGGAGGATAACTGAAGAGATGGAGCAGTGAGGAATAAAATAGTCATCACAAAGAATGGGAAATCAAATGTATCAGACAAACACATGATTGCCTAGATAGTACTCTGTACTCATCTACAATGTGTGACTATTAAATTAGAAGTAAAACCACTTGGACTCAGTTTTTTTCCAAAAACATTCAGTTATTTTGGGGTAGGCAGAGAAGCTAAGTTCAATCAGAATTGTGGTTTTCCTAGCATGTAGAACATAGGAAGGCTGGTGGGTAACTACAATCAAGGCGGTAGCACAGCATAACAGAGCCAAACACATACCACAAATTCTACAGAAGTTGAAATTTATAGATTATATTATTTACTCAAAGTTAGCAACTGTTTCATAGTGGTTGTCAGAATTTGCATATATCTCTGGCTAACTCCAGAGGCTGGACATAGGTATCAATAGACAACCTTTGCTATTTCACTCTAGTTCATACTAAACACAGATTCAATAGTGATTTTTATACAGCAGAACCCTATAGCTCATAATTTCAAAAATATGAAAAATTAGATCCCAGCCCACCAAACCCCCAACTTATTTCCCTAAGTTGCACTAAAACATTCTAAAAACCTATGAGGAACTCAAATAAGGAACTCAACTTAATCATGGCTATCAATCCGCTGTACAAGGTATTTTTCTATCTTTCTAAAATACTATATACTGTGATTAATAGTAAAGTTTTCAGAAGCAACTAAACTGTTATAATTTTTATTTTCTCATCTCACAGGAAAATAATAATCTTTTAATTGGTAGATGGGACATGTACATGATTGAGCTTGTATTTCACCTCTCAATATACTTTATCATTTTCAACTTTTTTTTTTTTTTTCCTTAAGACAGGGTCTCACTTTTTCACCCAGGCTGGAGTGCAGTGGTTTGATCACGGCTCACTGCAGCTTTGACCTCCTGGGTTTAAGTGATCCTCGGACCTCAGCCCCACAAGTAACTGGGACTACAGGCATGCGTCACCAAGCCCAACTAATTTTTTGTAGAGATGGAGTTTTGCCATGTTGTCCAGGCTGGTCTTGAACTCCTGACCTCAAGTAATCCACCTACTCTGGCCTCCCAATGTGCTGGGATTACAGGATTACGGGTGTGAGCCACTGGGCACAGCCAAATTTTTGGAATTTCCGAAAAAAAAATAAAATAAAAAATAAACATAAATTTTGTAGACAAAGGGTCTCACTACATTGGCAGGGCTTATCTCAAAACTTCTCAGCCTCCCCAAGTGCTGAGATTATACATGCCCAGCTAATATTTAATTTTTTAAAAAGTTCCTACCCATCACAGTATTTTAATTATTTTTTTTGAGTTAGGGTCTCACTCTGTTGCCCAGGCTGTGCTGTGGCATGATTTCAACTCACTGCAACCTCTGCCTCCCGGGTTCAAGCAATTCTCCTGCCTCAGCCTCCCTAGTAGCTGGGCCTACAGGCACCCCAAATTTTTGTATTTTTAGTAGAGACAGGTTTTACCATATTGGCCAGGCTGGTCTCAAACTCCTGACCTCAGGTGATCCACCCGCCTTGGGCTCCCAGAGTGCTGGGATTACAGGCATGAGCCACTGTGCCTGGCCTCATCACAGTATTTTATTAGCTACTTTTAAATTACCATGGGAATATAAACAAGGGAGATAATGAATTAAGTCCATAAATGAGATTTTCAACATCTTCCTTTGGCTGATAATTTAAACAACTTTACTTCTTATATTCTGAAAACATGAGTACTCTGCATGAATCAGCAGGTGTTAATAAATGTTAAATAGACAAAACAGAAGGAGATACCTTCTAGTGAGGATTTATTTTAATTATCAGTAAAATAAACAGCAGATGAAAGAAAGATTAATAATTAAAACTGAGTGTTTCCATTCTTTACTGTTTAAGCATTGTACATGCACTTCTGACTGAGCTCACCCATTTGTTGAAAAAGGAGACAAAGCCATATCCCTTAGACTTTCCTGTTGCCATGTCTTTTACCACTCGGGCATCTCTGAAATCAGAAACAATCAGAAGTTTAGGTTTGCAAACTGTCCTCTGGATATAAAATGAGAATTTCACACACAACTGATTATCATGTTTCACCTTCATTAAAGTGAACCTTTAATGCAAATTCACCTTTTATTCTACAAAATTTATCATGTATTAGGAAATGAGGCTTAATTTTATAGACATGCAAATCAGTAACTTCTTAAGTATATATGCATATGTACATTGTACAGAAATTGCCTCTCCAAAAAAATTTTTAAACTTTTAAATATTAAGCATGGTGAAAGCAGCTACTCACATGAACTACTTAAACATTTATAAAGTTCACAGGATATTAGATGAATGGCTTTCTTTAACCATGCAATTTATAATTTATTTGGCATTATATTCTACCTTATAATTAAAAAAAAAATAGAAAACCGGAAACCAAAAGCATAAAAAAGTTGTACATTCCCTAAACTAATTAAATTATTTCATTTTTTCAGATCAACTTATACCCCCCTTTTCGACTAGAGTAAAATTTGAGAAGTTGACATTTTTAGAAATGTTAAATCATTGAAGAAAAATACTAGACAAACACAAGTTTTAAACTATACAAGAAAAGATTTTACACTGAATTTTATAATAGCATTCATATAAAATTGATTGGAACTACAAGATATAAAAGCAAAATTTTAAAAAGTCAGAAAGTAAAAAAGCACGCCAACATTTATCCACTGTGAACCGTAGCTTGTAGTTAGCCAGGGCAATTCTGTCCATTCTTCAGAGACACTCTGCAAAATAACCAGAGCCCTATTATTTGAGATTGAGTAAAAACCCAGCCATGATAGCTAAAACTCCATACCTCAAAAAATTGGACTCAAATTGTGCTTCACAGGCAATCTGCTTTTAAGTTAGTCAGGTATGTCATAATGCTTGCTCTCTTAGGACACATGAACAAAACAGGCACTTTTATAACAAAAACCCAAGTCTGAAAGCCATGCAATGTAATTTTCTATTAAAGTAGACATAAGCATATTTTAGATCAATTTGAATGATTTATTAAGTGTTCAGGGTCAAAATGACAAAGATGTGGTGGTGAAAAGGGAAAACTAATGTAAGTCAATTCTTAATATGCAAAAATACTTAATAAATTATTTGTATGGTACACATGCATTTAATTTGGTAGCTGACTCTCTTCTACACCGTAAAATATTAGTCTACCCTAAACTCAAGGAACAGGAAGAGTTCACAAGCTGTATATAAGGGAAACTACCATGTTTTTTATACTAAATGCTTTTACAGACCACTGTTTATTACACATCTATAAATCAAGCACTGATATCTGCACTTTTTAGAGATTATCTATCATGGGAACCCTTCAACATACAGTTATCAACTTATCTCCTTTAACAATAAAAAATCAGGAAAATATGCTGACTGCCAAATGATTCCTTTAAATGTAGGAAAGCTAACTCCTTGTATAGCCTAAAACTCAAACTATACATTATCTCAATTGAAAATCCTAAAACTTAAAGGTCTCACCAAGAAAAAAAAAGTCTACATCAATAATCATGGGACCATAAGAAAATCTAGACTAAAAATATGATACAAAAACATATTTAAGAAAAATAAATTATGACCATGATTTGTAAATCATGAAACTGCTAAAATTTGAAGGTCACTTAACTTAAACACACCAACTGTTAAACAATCTTTGCCTAATCCCAAACTAAAATTCCCAGGTTTTCAAAAAAGCTACCTCAATTGAAATCAAAGCATTTAATTAAAAAGCTACTTAATCTGTTCACAATGTTAGAAAGTTTTTTCTTCTTAAAGGTTAAGGAAATGTTAACCTTGAAAAATGTTCAACTCATATTTATTTCTCTCTGAAAACATTCTCCGGAGAAGCAGCAGCAAAGATCTAGATCAGGCTTCTTTATCTTTTTATGGTCCTGTGACTATTCTGACAATAGGATGAAATTTACAAAGATTTTCCACACCAAAATGAAAACACAAATATTTGCACAGAGATTTAGAGCTCTTGAGAGGCCAAAGGATAAGACTGTCTAAGTCTAGATATTTGAAAGCAAGCCAATTATTATTGAAACTCTAAGACATTATTAAGAGGAACAATCAGAAAGAAAAGCTGTACTTATTTTCCTAATCAGGTCTCACAAAGAAAAATGTCATCTGAAAGTCCATTGATAAGCCCTAATTCTGTGACTGCCTTTAAAGCTGGCCATTCCTTGGTCACATGCATTGTCACCCACTCATCAACAAACTATAACTCTTCAAATGAAAACTCCCCCAAATTCATCACCAACACTACTGGCATTTACTTCCCAGTCTCCTCATCTCATCTCTGCTGTTGGTCTGTTCAAACCAAACCACCGTTAGCATTGCCTTTTTAGTACTCTTTTAGGTGGAAAAATAATAGAGCAACCGGAAATCCTGAAGAAGTTTTCTAAACTAAATAATTACTCCACAGAAAGTACCATAAACAACTTATTCTTACTCTAATATGGCATGCTTTTCAAAATTTTAAAGTTCTTCTATGATGAATACTATATCAAGTAAGGTATTTATTCATAAGGGCCTAAAATGTATGATTAATAACTGTATCAAGTAAGGTATTTATTCATCAGGGCCTAAAATGTATGATTAATAACAAGTGCAAGCAAGGCAGTGCTTCATAAAATACTATAAGGCACTATTATTGTTAGCAGTTTTTTTAAAAGGGTGCAAATACTTAGGAAATAACATTTATTAACTGCTTTTTAGGTTGAATTGTTAAAGTTTCTTTTTGTTAAAATATATTAACACAAAATGCATGGTATCATAGACGTGCGCAATGGATCTAAATTCCTTAGTCACAGCACAGTTTTAACTAAAGATTATCACCAAGCTAGCTTGACACCTATATAAGAAACTATAAAATGTACAATGGCAAATCTGTCTCTTAAAAGCTATGCTAACTGAAAAAGGATTTTAAGGTAATTGAAAACCAGAGGTTTATTCATCAGTGGGAAAACAATCTTTTGCTGTTAACTTCTTGAATGACCTCTAAACAATGTAATACATTATAAATTAATATAAAAAATTCATACTAAAATTATTTTCAAGTTATGTCTACATATAATTGTTTCTAATTAAAAAGATTTTATTTATCTTCTGTTACTTACGATATTCTTCCAAATGGTGCAAAAGCAGCTTTTATATCTTCAGTTGTAATTTCTGGACTGAGATCACCAACAAAGACATGGAAATGATCTTATAAGGGGAAGGAAGGGGAAGTGAAAAGAAAAACAGAACTTTAGAATTTAAAAAGTACTAAAATCTATCCAATAAAGTATTCTTAAAATGATTATGACTTACGATAAAGTATAAACAAAACACTATCCTATATCTATACAAATCCTATCAACTTTAAACGAGTCAAGGTAACAATATAGGAAAAATTCTCCTGAAAAGGCTGTGATACATCTAACAGGAAGTGACATTTATATTTCTATTTACAGTCAATTATTATACTGGTCTAAGAAAATAAATTAATAATATACAAGTTTCAGTTCTGCAAAAAATTTAATGCCTTAGTTACCATTCTAATAATAATTATTTACTTTTATTCAGTTTACCACTATATTAAGGCTTTACAAATTAAAATAGTGGTACTGGGAATTATGTAGACTAGATTTGCCTCAGTTAACACAATTTACTGAAGCTAGCTACATGATATATACTTGGTTTAACCATATTTTGTGAAGAACAATCAAAGAAATACCTTGCATTGCAACAGTTTGATGTTAAAGTATTTGACAGTTTTCTCAAAAGCCAACAGTTTTGGTTGCCCAGACATTACACCATTCAGTTTATGTGAATCCATGTGCAAGTGAACTAAGACTGAAGGCAACAGAATGAAAACAGTAATCCCTTCACTTTATATCAGAACCATTAAAAAAGCATTGGAGAGAAATAACCATCCCATATCTGAGTTTTTAAAAAAGACAATTATCAAAAAAAGAAACACTTTAAAAATGCAAAATTGTTGGACCAACACTTTAAAATGGACACACACATAAATTTGACAAAGCATATTTGGAAAGAAAAGTTACCCATATTTGACAGGCCTTAAACAACATTTTGGATTGCTCTTTGGGAAACAAAATTTGAGGAGCAATTCAAGCATTTGGAAGATCTGAGTATGAAGCCCAGACGGTGACCTCAAGAAAGCCGGGTATCTTGCCCCTTAGTTGTGAAAGTAGTTCTAAGGCATCAGCTGCTACCAAAGGGGTCAGAAAGCTTGAACTAGCACCAAAGTAGTGGACAAGCTATACTTGGTCAACACTGAGAAGAAGTGAGAAAAATATTGCTAGAGAGACAAATAGAAATACTATCTCCTCCCGCCCCCCCTCCCCCAAATATCATACAAAAAAACTTCAGGTGGTTAGTGAATACCCTTTCAAGAGATTTCATTTTATGTTTAAGAAGATACAATTACCTTGTGAACGCTGTGTGCTGACAACGGTACTACCTGATGACAAAGATTAGATTTGTTCTTAAATTTATTAACACAAACACATTCAATCATATCTTAGGATAACGATCAAAACATTACTGCAAACATGTACGATGTTTATGGGCTTTACAATAAAACTACTGGGTATAATAAAAACAAATGTTCAAAAAGCATAAAATATACTTACTGCTTGTATCTTTCTTTTGACTGCTGGGGGTTGTTGCCCAATTCACTTTGACTTCCTAAAAAAAATTTTCTACATTTATACTTCATAAAAATAAAGCCCAAAATCACATTTGCATCTATAAACATAGAGGAAGTTATCTATTTAAGATGAAACACTAAAGGAGATGCCAGCTCTGGTCCAGTTTCAATACTTATCTTCTGAACTACATTTAGGCAAATAAATAATGTTGACAAATCTTAATCTTTCTATGTCTGTTAACATTCAATTAACCTTTTTTACCTAAAAGTACCAACATTATTTTTTTCTTTGATTCTTTTCCATTAGCATCCAAACATTGAGTAATTCAGCAAATATTTTAGTATTTACCATAATACTAACATAGGTCGGTGGCTCATGCCTGTAATATCAGCACTTTGGGAGGCCAAGGCAGGTGGATCACCTGAGGTCAGGAGTTCAAGACCAACCTGGCCATCATAATGAAACCTTGTCTTTACAAAAATACAAAAATTAGTTGGGCATGATGGCAGGTGCCTGTAATCCCAACTATCATGGAAGAACTGCTTGAACCCAGGAAGTGGAGGTTGCAGTGAGCTGAGATGGCACCATTGCACTCCGGCCTGGGTGACAGAGCAACATTCCATCTCAAAAGA